ACTTAATTCTTTTTAGCATTGATTATAATAGTCTTAAAAATTACCAGGAAATCTGAACTTTTAATTAGCATGGTCAATAAAATTTTGGTTTATGTAATAACTTAAAATATATAAAAATAATATGAACAGTATACAATATTTTCAGACACATGAATCAAATTTATTTAAATAAATTATATAAAGAATGAAGTAAAAACTTCATTGAAGTTTAATTTAAATGAACTGATTATATTGAAACATCCTTTATTAAAAATCATTATTTTCTTTTTCTTGTATTAGCAATTCAATGCCATGAATTGCCTGTTGTCTGCATCTTGGGTTTAAGTTTCTCAATCTGGCATCAATGTAGTCACAAAACCTTGATACCAGATATGTTAGTTTCTCTTGTTTCGCTTTTTTTTTTTTTTTTTTAAAGACTCAGATATATTTTTTGTGGTCTCTTCCAAGACATTCAATGTACATTTTTTTGTTTCCTAGATTTTTCATTATTCTTGCTTGAACTGATAAATTAGATTCATCAGCACACAATTATACAATAATAAATTACATACTCAATATATCATACCTTGGTATATTAAAAACATCGGGATTATCTGTAGGTGAAATGCTGAAAATAATTTATAATAATCAGTTGTTTAAAAACTTATAATTCATTATATATTATATTTAAATTAGTTCAAAGTTTACATACTTTTGCATTTGAGTTTCACTCATCATTGGAATATTTTCTTTACTAAAAATAAATGTCTTATTTAAGTATACCAATAATAATTCTGTCACAAATAATTATAAAGCATAATAAGTATGTTACTTATTTTGATTGAGTGATTGACATGCAGGGTACTATCTCAAGGTTATTTTCTAGGTCATTTTCATCTTCATTTATTAAATTTGAAAGTTCCCTTAATGGGGACATATTATTAACTGAACTGTAGAAAAAAAATTAAATTCTAAATTGAAAACAAATCAGGTAGATAGTAGTTTAAATTTTAGTCAGAAAGCATAGATGTTAATAGCGAGGTTGCGGTTGAAGTTTTCAATGCAAAAAGTGTACGTTGGATGTTCAGCACTGCCATCCTGTAAGCCTAGAAGTTTGATAATGGCATTTGGAACATTGAGCATGATTCTACTGACATTGCAAACGCCATTGTCAAACTTCTAGGCTTACAGGATGGCAGCGCTGAACATCTAACGTACACTTTTTGTGTTGAAAACTTAGGCCGCAACCTCTCTAATGAAAGAGTAATAATCTCTGCAGCTATATATTTTTTTTTTTTTTTTTTTTTTTTTTTTTTTTTTTTTTTTTTTTTTTTTTTTTTTTTTTTTTTTTTTTTTTTTTTTTTTTTTTTTTTTTTTTTTTTTTTTTTTTTTTTTTTTTTTTTTTTTTTTTTTTTTTTTTTTTTTTTTTTTTTTTTTTTTTTTTTTTTTTTTTTTTTTTTTTTTTTTTTTTTTTTTTTTTTTTTTTTTTTTTTTTTTTTTTTTTTTTTTTTTTTTTTTTTTTTTTTTTTTTTTTTTTTTTTTTTTTTTTTTTTTTTTTTTTTTTTTTTTTTTTTTTTTTTTTTTTTTTTTTTTTTTTTTTTTTTTTTTTTTTTTTTTTTTTTTTTTTTTTTTTTTTTTTTTTTTTTTTTTTTTTTTTTTTTTTTTTTTTTTTTTTTTTTTTTTTTTTTTTTTTTTTTTTTTTTTTTTTTTTTTTTTTTTTTTTTTTTTTTTTTTTTTTTTTTTTTTTTTTTTTTTTTTTTTTTTTTTTTTTTTTTTTTTTTTTTTTTTTTTTTTTTTTTTTTTTTTTTTTTTTTTTTTTTTTTTTTTTTTTTTTTTTTTTTTTTTTTTTTTTTTTTTTTTTTTTTTTTTTTTTTTTTTTTTTTTTTTTTTTTTTTTTTTTTTTTTTTTTTTTTTTTTTTTTTTTTTTTTTTTTTTTTTTTTTTTTTTTTTTTTTTTTTTTTTTTTTTTTTTTTTTTTTTTTTTTTTTTTTTTTTTTTTTTTTTTTTTTTTTTTTTTTTTTTTTTTTTTTTTTTTTTTTTTTTTTTTTTTTTTTTTTTTTTTTTTTTTTTTTTTTTTTTTTTTTTTTTTTTTTTTTTTTTTTTTTTTTTTTTTTTTTTTTTTTTTTTTTTTTTTTTTTTTTTTTTTTTTTTTTTTTTTTTTTTTTTTTTTTTTTTTTTTTTTTTTTTTTTTTTTTTTTTTTTTTTTTTTTTTTTTTTTTTTTTTTTTTTTTTTTTTTTTTTTTTTTTTTTTTTTTTTTTTTTTTTTTTTTTTTTTTTTTTTTTTTTTTTTTTTTTTTTTTTTTTTTTTTTTTTTTTTTTTTTTTTTTTTTTTTTTTTTTTTTTTTTTTTTTTTTTTTTTTTTTTTTTTTTTTTTTTTTTTTTTTTTTTTTTTTTTTTTTTTTTTTTTTTTTTTTTTTTTTTTTTTTTTTTTTTTTTTTTTTTTTTTTTTTTTTTTTTTTTTTTTTTTTTTTTTTTTTTTTTTTTTTTTTTTTTTTTTTTTTTTTTTTTTTTTTTTTTTTTTTTTTTTTTTTTTTTTTTTTTTTTTTTTTTTTTTTTTTTTTTTTTTTTTTTTTTTTTTTTTTTTTTTTTTTTTTTTTTTTTTTTTTTTTTTTTTTTTTTTTTTTTTTTTTTTTTTTTTTTTTTTTTTTTTTTTTTTTTTTTTTTTTTTTTTTTTTTTTTTTTTTTTTTTTTTTTTTTTTTTTTTTTTTTTTTTTTTTTTTTTTTTTTTTTTTTTTTTTTTTTTTTTTTTTTTTTTTTTTTTTTTTTTTTTTTTTTTTTTTTTTTTTTTTTTTTTTTTTTTTTTTTTTTTTTTTTTTTTTTTTTTTTTTTTTTTTTTTTTTTTTTTTTTTTTTTTTTTTTTTTTTTTTTTTTTTTTTTTTTTTTTTTTTTTTTTTTTTTTTTTTTTTTTTTTTTTTTTTTTTTTTTTTTTTTTTTTTTTTTTTTTTTTTTTTTTTTTTTTTTTTTTTTTTTTTTTTTTTTTTTTTTTTTTTTTTTTTTTTTTTTTTTTTTTTTTTTTTTTTTTTTTTTTTTTTTTNCCACGACCATGTCTGCGACGAATCTTATGTAATGATAGGGATACTATTTCCACCCTGGAAAAATCTGGTGTATACTCCGTTCCCTTGCAGAATCCAATATCAGGACTATGCACCAATTATATAGGAGCGACCACCAGAATGCTTGCTACCCGTATATCTGAACACCAACGTTCGGTGGCACTTGGCAATTGCGACACGGAACTTTCCAAATTAGTGATACAACAACATCACATAGCGCTTTGGAATCGGGTGGAAATACTCAAACGCTGTGATGAAGGGAGCTTAATATATATTTGGGAGGCCATCCTCACAAAACTGCTCTCCCCGTGCAACTCCCCCACCCTTGAATTGCCGGATATCTGGATTAACATATACAGGCAGTTAAAAAATCAATAATAATTTTGCATTCCTTTCCCCCATCTTCTACATGACTCAAAGCGCATACGTGTCGGCCTCGTTATGTCCCATGTTTTAGTCTTTAACATTTAAATATTAATGCAAACTAGCACTTACGGATCTATTCTGCTCAGTTTCTCAGTCTATGTTAAGGCGCATGCGTGCCAAAAATTTTATACGTATTTACAAAAGTATTTGTTTTTAATGTTTAATTTTATACGTATTAACAAAAGTTTTGTCTTTAACTTTTAGTTTTAATTTAAAATGTAAAATTTATTTATTCTTAATCGCCATCCTAATTGGATATTATGTAATGCATGTTAAGGTGCATGCGCGCCAGTGTTTTGCGCGTTTATAAAATAATTAATAGCCATTCTTATCGAAATTTAAAACGCATGTGTGCCAATTTTAAATATTTTTAAATGTTTTAATTCTAAAATTTAATTCTTATTAATAATTAAAAAACGGCTAATATCGTTAATGTTCAAATTCAAATGTATGATTCGAGTTCTCTGTTCGTTTGATTTGCCTGAGGACGACGTGCATATTTACGTCGAAAGCGCTCGCAAGAATAAAATATTTTAATTGTATTTAACGCCTTAGTGTCTGAAGTTTTTGAAGAAGCTTTAATTACATATCATCAATTAATGGAACAGTGACATTAATAAGCTTACCTTGCATATTCATTTATACAATCTTTTAGTATGCTATCCATGAGATCAGATAAATGCCATGTGGTCTTATATATGTCCTTTGTCCTGCTACCATTGGCTAAACTTTCTCTAATTTTTTTTCTTTCCCTGTTATAAAGATCCCTCTACACCTTCCACTTTTGTTCTGCTTTGTTTCCTATTTAAAACATTTTATAATTAAATGATTCCACTTTAGGAGTTCAATGCAGTATATCAAACTTTCTTACCATTCAATCCAAATTTTACGGCTATCACAGTCTATATCATATGTTTCAACGCTATATTTTTAAACTCTCTACATTTCTTGTCGTATAGACACCTGTACTTCCTAACTTCTTCAATAAATAATTCTAAATCTACTTGCTTTCTCATTCATTTAGCTGCACTTTCCACCATTACGACTATCAAACTACATATGACAAATCAAGTAACTATGCATCACAAATCCTCATGATTTTATTGGTTGCAGTGCGACAGAAGCATGAATGGAAAAGTTAAATAATTTTTAATTCTACTTTCAGTCTTGTTTCTGTCCAACTGAATGTTCCAAAACTGAAAGTGGTCAGTTTGGCTTTCAGTTTTATGATTAAGTTATGGATTCTGGTAATGTGGAGTCCAGGTTTAATAGTTTAATGTGCTTTGTATAGCTTAATTTTAACATCCTATTCTAAGTTTTCAATTCTTAAATGATGATAGCTTTCAAAAAATTATGTAAACTAAAACTTCTGTTTAAGAATTTGTGCTTTAACATTTGCTAATGTGTTATTTAAAGCATTAATGCTATAATGATATATTTTATTCTTTAAAAGTAATCAATCAGTAAACTATTTTGGTTGCTTAAAAGCAACTTNTTTTTCAAAAAAATAATATATTTTAATAAATTTTTAAAATACATTTAGAACATTGCTTGAAATGGTTAAAAGGAGAGAGAAGACGAAAAGAGAGCAATTGCATTTAACTATAGAAATTTTTGAGAAAAGGTAAGTCCAGTTTTAAATAAATATATAAAAATATATATTTATGCATTATATTTTGCAGGTATAATTTTTTTTTTATCTACTACATGTATAAATTTACGAAAAAAACATGATTGTGTTCCATTGCAACTTAAAATGGATAATTCTGTTATGTACTGAATTTGCATCAGATTTTGTTGTAAATTCTTCAATTATTATTGATGTAATGAATTGTGGATTTATAGCTACTCACAATTTATCTATTAGAAACAAAAAACTGTTCTTTTTAGTAGAAAAATCCATCTTCTACAAAATTCAAAAAAGCAGAACAAGTTCAATCAAAAGTTAAAGTTAAGCATTTCTTTTGTTTTTATATAACACAATAAATAATACTTTTTAAGACATTTTTTTGTAGTATGTCTCAAAATGGTCAAAGTCAAACTATAAATTAGCAATATTATAAGTCTTATGCTAAGACTCCACTAGCATAAAAACCTTCACTGTAAAAACTTTTAATCATGTGACCATGATATTTTACGCATGAGCAGGTCATAAAACCAAGTAGAAGCGAGTTGAGCATTGTTCAACTTTTGACACAAATACAGCCGGAAAATTGTACTATCCACCAATCATAAGTCAGTGAAATCTAGATCATTGTGACACAGTATAAAAATGAGCTTTTGTGTATGTTCTCTTGTGGCTACTCTAGAATAGATCTGGAAAGATTTATCGAAAACATCTGAAAGTATTTGTGTATCTACAACAAGAGGTATCCCGATTATAATAATGGATGGCTAAAACACACGATATGGATGGCCAAAGGAAAATCCTTCAATTTAGAGGAGTATATAATAAAAAGCTAAGCTTATAAGTGCTGTATATTATCTTAATAATATGATAATAAAAGTTAATATAAGAAAGTAAAGATATTATTTTTACTACATTTGTAATTATAGTACAGAAAAAACTTGTAGAATATAATCATTGTCTTTATAACTTCAATAGTACCATTTCCGTAAAAATTTTGCTAGCTGGACCTCCATTGCAGTCCAGACTCAAATGCAAATAGGTCACATGATTAAAAGATTTTATGATGAAGGTTTTTACGTTTGTTTTTACATTAGTGGAGTCTTGGCCGTACAGTGATTGCATTATTTCTGTTTGAATAACAAAAAGAAAATGTGTATGTCATGAAAATGTTGTTAAACATTCAGTATTTTTTATTTAAGATTTTGTGAAACATTCCAGTATAATATTCCATGTTCATCAGCTTCCTGCAATTTGTTCAAAGTTGAAAACTTTCCTGATAAACCAGATTTACTACAACTGAAGAAATTACTCATTATACAACAATACAAACTATCAGAAATTTCAAAAGAAGCGTATCAAAAATACTTTTAGAAGTTACAAAAACATTGGAATACATGTACAGTACACCATATACAGCATACAGCTGTTTTGAAGGGATTTTATTTAAATAGCCATTAAGCTTTGTTTGCTGAACATTATTATAGTTCCATGTGCTAACTCCCTTGCAACACTGCATCTATTGAAATAAGTTTTAGATATTTTTAAGGTTTACATGTTAAAGTCCAGGGCTTTGGAGTGACCATTTTTTTGAGTTGCTCCGCTCCGGTATCACAGTATTTGCTCCAGCTCCACTCTATGCTCCAGTTAAAATATTCTTATAGGAATTACACTAATTTTGTCTTTGGTATATAAGTACGCATAAAAAAACTTGTTTATTTACAACTAATTTATTATTAAAAAAATTAACATCCAACCTCACTGATTTTAATAAATAAAATGGCAAACAGCAAATCATCCTTCATTGACTGCCTGTTATCACTTAAAAGCAATCTTAATCCGGAAAATAGAAGTTCAACACTTGCTTGATAAGTTGGCATGCTTGAAGCGACTCTGCATGCTTTTCTGATGCGTTCTGGATAATGGTCAATGGCTTCAAATACATTCACCTTTAATCTCCCCACATCCTCTATTGCATTGCAGTCTTTCTCAACGTGTTTGTCTATTTCGTTGTCTTCTTTATTATGTATAGTGGAAATTTGACAACTGTTTTCTCTTGTATCCAATTCTTTTTCAAAATCATCATCTTCCGAATCTATATTTATCATATCACAGGTTGGCTGTGACAGCTCAACAATTGCTGGCTTTTCAGCCAAATCAATTAGTGTTTGCCTTTTAATTCGCCATTGGATGTCTGAAAGACCTACTCTTGCTTTTAGTTTTTCTGCCGCACTTAATAAGATTCTCTGCCTAGAATCAACATACACTCCAGCAAGAAAATGTATGTTTTGAATAAGTTTTTTTTTTTTCTGCTTTTTCATGGAAGACAGGATTCCTAACGCAACATATCTTCCAAATTCTTCCATACATTTTTCTAGTTTACACCATTCTTTCATAAACATCCCCAGAGTAAGATTGGCAACTTGAAGGGCAATTGTTGAAATATTTGGTTTTTCTAAAACAGCTCTGATATGTTTTACTTCATCCCATTCTGCTTTGCTAAATTCTAGGTCTTTTGTCTCAGTAGCAGCTACTTGATCGCAGTAGTCTTTGAAAAAAAAGGAGACAATCAAGCATGGCATATGTAGAACCCCATCTTGTTACTGTGTCTAGGAATTGAGTTTTACCATACATTTTCAGCAAAACATTACGAATTGTTGGGGTTCGTAATTTTACCACAACCCGTCAAATTTTCCCTAATATTTTTGTTATTCGTTCATTCTTTAATCCATTCCAAATGGCTAGTTGAACAGTGTGAATCTCACACCTCATTAGATGAATTTTCGTATTATCATTAGTCCACGCTGGCAATATTAGGGAAGGATTTTTAATCTACTGTAGCGAAATGTCTACATTCATTTCTTCGATGTCTTCAGTTTTTCATCTTTATCCTTGAAAATATTTTCATGATGGCCAAGTTTATTTACAGCACATGTCATGTTTGCTGCATTATCTACACAAATACTTAGTACTTGTTTTTCATCAATTTCAAATTTGTTCAAAGTTTCTTTAATTTGATTTTTCACATATAAAGAGTTATGTCTTCCTTTAGTATCGACAACATCCAATGTTTTTATTTCAGTTTTCTCGTTTTTTTCATTCCAAAATTGTACATTGATGGCAAGAAAATTTCTATTTCCACGGGTTGCAGCATCTAGCTTTAAATAACATAATTGTCCTTTTAAAGTTTGTCTTAGATTGATGTGCACAGACTCTGCTGTGCTTATTACTAAATGACGAACAGCATCATGTCCTATCGAAACACCAAGCTTCTGAGCCATTTCACCAGCAATCTTTTGAAATCCTTTGTTATTTAATGTGAACGTAGTGAGTGGTGTCATACTCATACAAACCATCTCAACAAGTCCCTCGCGGAAAGTATTGCTATCCATAGTGATTGTAATCTTCGATGATGTAAAATATGTATCAATTTTTGGTTGATCAGTTCTGCATTTCTTATGACATGAAAGTGCAATGGTAAGATTGTCATGATTATGTTTTCTTCTTGCAGCAACTTCGTCTTGTTGATCCTTCTCTTTAACTAACCCTTCGTAAATTTCAGGATGATTACGCTTCACATGCCGCCAAAGATTGAACTTTTTCGGCACACTAGTTTCACTTGCCTTGAAGTTACATTGTGTAGATTCGCCATTTGCAATGTGTTCCATCTTGCATGTAACTGATTTTTTCTTTCCATTATCGTATTCAAATATGAATATCTGTTTAACCCCTTAAGTTCCCAGCAATTTTTTATATTAATTTAATTAAACATAAAAAATACTTAAAACTGAAAAAAAACGAAAGAAATGCGTTAATTTTGAAGAAAAAGCTTCAAACTTTCTTTTCCTTTGTCTTGCCTTTCTGCGAATGAGTCATTGTTTACACAGCTGGATGACCTTGAACACAGCTGGAGTCCGATTTCCCAGGGCATTCTCATATACGTCTCGGGAGGACAAGGGTTTAAAGTAGAGTGAGCTCTATCTCCCCATATATTTTTAAATATTTTTAAAAAATTCAAATTTTAATTGCGATTTCTGACCCCCCCGACTTAATTAAACGTGTATATAATAAAATCTATTAATTAAAAAAATTAAAAAAACTATTGGAGGTGGTTTTTGACATTAGAAAGCAGCTTTAAATAACTTTACCAAAGAAAAATCCATGCACTACAACTTTAGAATGCTTAATTAATTTTGATAAAAAATCCCATTAAAAAACAATTAAGCCTTGATCGAGCCTTATCAAAGGCTAATTAAAATCGCGATAAAATTTTTTTGCACGGGTAAAAATTTTTGAAAAAAAATTGGGGACTTAAAAAACTTTCGAAAAATTCAAAAAAAAACAAAAATTTTTTGGGGGACTGAAAGGACCGAGTTTTATGTAAGGCTATGTAGCTTGCCCGAGTTAACTCGGACGAAGAACTTAAGGCGTTAAGCTTTTCTTCTGTAAGCTTTTCTTCTGTAAATTCTTCTGACTGTCTATCATGGGTGATGGTTTTAAATTTTGGTTTGACACCATGGCTTAAATAATCAAATATTTAAGTGTTATTAATTGAGAAATTATGCATATAAACAATTCGTGCATACAAAAATAACCAAATAATAATAATAATAATAATAATAATAATCTTACCTCTGCAAACAAATTATAAAATATGATATATGATTATAATAAACTGATTGTGAACAGAAATGAACGACTGTCACACTCAAAATCAAATGTAAGAAATGAATATTAGTGCTGCTCCTAGTGTTGAATTTCTAGTAAAGTGCTAATGACTAAAACCACTTGTAAACAGAGTTTAAAATCTGCTACTCATTAGCACCCCTCCCCATTAACTCCACATCTGCGATCGTTAAGAATTCAGAGAACTGGGGAGTCGTGAAGGGGAAGGAATAGCTTGGTCAGGGGATAGTGGAGACTGGAGAGAGAGGTTCCCACCTTTCACATGGGACATATGTGGAATGGATATAAAATTTATCTGTGCGTGTGATTACCTTTCTTTTTAGTTCAATTATTGTATTCTTAACATTTGTAAATATTACAACTTATGCCACTTCCATTCTCATCGTTTCAAATATTAAATAAATATATATATCAGAGCAGTGGAGCACTACAAATTTCCGTGCTCTGGCTTTGCTCCTTCTCCGAGTAAAAATCCATTGCTCCACCTGCTCCATGCTCCAGCTCCAGCTCCGCTCCAAAGCCCTGTGTTAAACACTAGTCTAATTTCAAATGAAACATTTTATCATGTGATAAATATGGTAGCAAGTTTTATTGTAATTAGACTAGTGTTTTCTTAAATATAGTAAGATATTAAGACTGGAATACAATGTATAATCATAGAGCTATACCTATTTTACTTAATCAAAATATAAATGTAATTGACAATTTATAAAAACAATTAAAAAATTTGTTGTAACTTTTTTACAACAAAAATGTTTCATTACAGCAGTATATATATACATACATATACATTTATTTATTTAAAATAATTGAACATATTCAAATCTGTTTTTATGTTACAAAAAATTCAACATGAATAAATGTACAAATCTTATACATTTACATGTAATTAATATTTTTCCATTTAGAATTTCTTATATTCCATTTAAGATTATTTGTTCCTGATGATGAATTTTCAGTACTCAAAAGTGCCTGAACATTTTTCTTATATTTTCTGTTCCCATGAAGCATTTTTATTGTGATTTGTAATAGCTTACTTGTTAAGAAGATAATTTCAAAAAATGAAAAATTGTTTTTGAGATGTTAGCTTCTTTGATGTTAGATCAGTTAGAAAGCTATTATAAACATTTTAGAATGTTTGGTTCTAGAATTTAACATAAAGGAATGTGATGATCTTATTTCTAGCATTTAAAATTTTAGCAGTTTTAACTAGATAGATCACATTTCAGAATTTTTACGTTTTTTTCTATTATGTTTTAATAATGATTCAAATAATAGTTTGATTTAAAATTGTAATTACAAATAGTCATCAGCATGTGATTCTTACCAGAACTGTATTTAACCTATAACTATATGGCTGCTTACTGCTTAGAGCTATGACTATAGGATTCCTCAAATTGATCTGTAAATTTATAATTATTTATTTCTTAAAAGTTTGTAATTATTAGATAATCATAAATAATAAATAATGTTTTTTAATAAATATACATGTAAATATTTGGTTTTCTGTATTTTATATACAAAATTCAGAAAAATCAACAACTTATCAGCTTAAATTAGTAGATGTAAATTTAAATAGTTTTACAATCTGAAACATGCTTGGTATAACTACATTTTAAGTTCCAGTTATCTTAAAATATTTTAGTTATAATGCCTATTATCATTTTTTAAAATAAAATATTTGTTTTTGATTAGTGTGGAAAAATGCTTTCATAATTGTAGAAGTCATTTTAGTTAAATATTAGAGATCCTTTAAATATTATTCCACTTAAAGCCTTCCAAAATTAGTACTTTGTTTGATTTCAAATTTATTCTATTTCTTTAAAATATCAAATAATTTTTACTAAAAACTAGAATATTTCAAAGATTCACTTAGAGTATTATTTTGACATTCAAAATAGATTTATAATTTAAATTTATAATACCAAGATATGTATAAAATAAAATATAACAACAAAAAATTTTGTGAATTTTTTTTAATCATCTATATATATAAAAATGAATGTGTGTGTGTGTCTGTGTCTGTGTCTGTCTGTCCTTCATGCATTACCACACTGTTTATCCGATTGCCGTGAAACTTTAGGAAGTTGTTTAATATACTCCGGCGAAGGTTTGTGGCATAGTACGATTGCCATAAAACTTTGGGAAGTTTTTTAATACACTCCCGCAAAGGTTTCTGGCATAGTACATTTATCCTATGATAGACGGCGTGCGTTTACACGAGCATTCGAGCACAGTGTGCTCGATCGATTTCAAATTGTGAAGACCATTTCCCCCTTCAAAAAATATTTCTATATGTGCATTTGTGAACTGTTATTTACGATATTCGTAATAATGTTTGTTTAATCACTTTATTTCAACTTTTTTTTGCTAATTACGTATTCGCTCAAACTTTGTTAAAACTTTAACTGTATACCAAACAACAACCGAAGTTGTAGAAGGAAATTTGCCTATTTTACCGATCTAGGGATCCCCTTTTCCAAATTTTAATATCATCTAATAATTTAAAAAGACAAATTACAATAAAACGGTTTATTATCCAACTATCAGAAATTTCACAACATGCCAAGGAAGAGAGGAAGGAGCAATTAAATAATTAAAATTATAAAGGATTTAAAAATATATATAAAAATGGGGAATATCGCACTTCTGACAATCGCAGCGAGTGTGTGGGCTAAATTTGGAGAATCCATGCTTCTCGCATGGACAACTGTATGTGGCCGGCTCACGCGTCGAAAAACCTTCTGATTTATTCATGTACGCACCAGACGGAAAAACAAAAAATATCGTGTATCCACAAACACTCCAATAAATAAATAGAATTGAAATGACACTTTGAAATGTTTTTCCGATGAAAATGAATAATAATAATAAGTTTCAGTAAAAATAATAATATATAAATTGAATTTTATCATAACGAGTTTGCTTGAATTTCCTTTCTTCTGAGATCGCAGCAATGCACGACGGGTAAGCTAGTAATAAATATATTTTGAGCCACAACAACGCGTGACGGGTCTGCTAGTTAGATTATATAGATGATGATAAAATTACAATAAAAGTAGTAATAATATTGACATATTAATTGACTGATTCAAATGTATGACACAATAGTAATAATTTTATTAACTGAATTTTTTCTATGAACATTTTTATTATGAATAATAATAAACAAATAAAGTAAGATATATTTTGAAAAGAGATCAGGAGCTGTATTCTCATCTCTTCTTTCAAGGATGAATGACGTCAAAATAAGAAATGAAATTAGCCTCTCAGAGACAGTGGCGATTCTGGTCACTTTTAACGATTTCATCTTCATTGATGATGTCACAATTCTAATAGGTTGATTATACATGTTCGGGTTATCTGTGTGCACAACGAGGTATAGATTTTTAACCAATGAAATTGTAAAATTTTCAAAAATGCAGAGTACATAATTATAGATCATATGGCAAGGAAAGCTCGCGTTCAAATAAAGCACATAATTTTGACAAAGTTGTTTTTTGTTTTATAATGTTTTTACAGATTGTAATGTCAATTTGTCTCTTAACAAATAAAAATTTTAATAACCTAAGTTAGAAAAGCATGCATACTTAGATGTTTTTCGAAATAATCCCATCTAATTGCTCCTTAACTTTCTAATTAAGATTAAAATCATATTTAATAGTTCAGTAATTAATGTAGGATAATTAAAAAAAAATGAAATCAGTGGTGTTTCCGAGTAGGCACTGAAAAAAATCAGAAGCATTTTCTCTCTCAAAATATTCTTTCCCAAGATAGAGAATGTTCTCTAATATGATTGTACAGTGCAAGTAGCATCCAGTTGTCCATATTGGATATAACAAAATTGAGGCAAAAGATGAAAGACAGTTCAAAAAACAACTATCCACTCGTTTCTGAGAAACTCAAGAATCTTCAAGAGAAAAAGTTGTCCAGAATCTCATTTGGAGAGACACGATGATCTCTTGAGACATAAACAAATTATTAGCCAATCAGCTATGAGAGATGAAAGATGAGAGACGATGACCAGAATACAGCCCCAGATTCTAATTGAACCTACAAATATATAAGTATTAACAGATTAATATTTCTCTGACAAAATGTCTCATATTTATACAAATTAATATTAAATAATCTAAAATTGAAAAATGCATATACAGTAGAAACCCTCTAGTCTGCCCTCGGCTAGTCCGTCACTCCGGTTAATCCAACCGGTTAATCCAACGGTTAATCCAACCGTGGTCGGAGTCGATAAACTTGTCTCGACTCATCAGTGACTCACTGTCCGTGGTGTTTTTCTGTGTTCGTTACAGTATATGTTTTACATTGTGTGTACATGTACAGTTTTGTGTGTGTTTTCAACATGTCAGGAGTGAAACATAAACACGTTACTCTTTCATTAAATGAAAAATTAGCAGTGCTACAAAGACTGGACAAAGGGAAAGATTGTTTATTTTACTTTTTTCTGATAATCTGACCTTTTTTGCGTTCCGACCATACCCCTAGTCCCAAAGGTGACGGATTAGAGGGGTTCTACTGTATTTTATTTTAGAGTCTGGTTTCATAGGACTAATGATAATGATGTGTTTGAACTTGTCATCAAATGAGACAGAAAGACATTAAGTCAGTGGTTCTCAACTATTCATATATTTGAGAGTATTAGCATCAATATATATAAAAATTGATGAGAAATTCATGTTTACTATTTTCTCAAAACAATGAAGCAATAAACTAATAAACTTCATTTTATTGAATAAAATCATGAACATGGGATTGTCTACCAAATAAAGTAATATTCTACACAAAATTACCTTCTTCTCAATAACTGGATCAAATTACTAAGCACAACGAGGATATTTAAATTGGAATCTGCTTATTCCATTTTAGAATATTCTCATTGATCTGATGTAAATCTTGTTTAAGATTGAAAACATTTGTCAATTTTTACATTAAAATTTGACTGGATGTTTAAGGTTTTGTTGATTGTGCTTAGTAACATGCTGTAGTACATTGAATATAAATTTAAAATAAAAACTTAAAAATGTATTTTGGTTGAATACTTAAGACAAGTTTTCAGAATACTGGTTGAGAACCACTGCCTTGAAGTCATAATATGAATTTGATATGACTCCATTCAGTTATTAATTCCTTGTATGTTAAATAATAATTAAAATAAACTCATTATTAGTATTGATGTTTATATAATGGAAATACTTGTTTAGGTATCAAGCTGGAGATTTTAGTGGGCAAATTCTCTCTGAAGTATCAACTATAAAACATACTAAGCCAGCCTATGTTCCTGTAAATAATAATCAAGGAGTTATGAAACAAGAAACACGGGTATCTAAACATAAAGTATGAAATATATTGATTATTACAATGTTTTTGTATGTGAAATATATTAAATTAATTTTTTCAACTAGGATGAAGGAACACAGAGGAAGAAAAGAGAATATACAAAAAGAAAGCATAAACAAGATTCTACATCACTTAGACAACAACAATCAGTGTCACGTACTGAAGTAGATTCTGGATATCCTGATATTAGTTCTGAAGATGAAAGACTTTCATTAGTAAATATGTTTAGCAATTGCAATTTAAAATTTAAATTTAGTTTCATTTGGTCTATATTTATATTTTTATATTATATAATTCATAACATTTTTTAAAAGATTCTCAATTTTTGATTTTAAATTTGTACCAAATTAATTAATAGACTCTTCTCAAACAGCACTTTCAAAAATAACTACACTTTACTAACCTTTAACATGCAGTCTATTTTATTAAAGTAATCTAACATTTTTGGTCAATTAATTGACCTTTATCAGGATCAAACAATTTTTTCGATTTATGATGAACAAAACCAATTATAGAACTTATAATCGGTTTTGTATAATTCGGATCCTGATGAAGGTCAATTAATTGACTAAAAATGTTAGATTACTTTAATAAAATAGACTGCATGTTAAAGGTTAGTAAAGTGTAGTTAATAGAATAGTCAATTTATTATTCTGATTCAAACAAAATTGAAGTTTCAACTTCTTTAAGTAAATTATTTTACCATAAAACTGTATCTATTAAGAACTAAATTATCATGTTAAATGCTATAATATTTAAAATAAGATTTTCTCAGATTACAGATTTTTTTTTAATATGTTCAATATTCTTTAATAGCATAGTAAAGAATTATTTAAAATGTTGTTTAGAAACATTATTTTTATACCAGATTTGTTCTGATCAGAAAATCCTTTTTAATTTATTAATTCAAACCAATGTTAATTTATTTAACATTGGCTTGAATTATATTATATTACATATTACAGTAGAGCATCGATTATCCGACTCCCGATCAACCATCACATCGATTAACCGACCGCATTCTAGTCGGCAAATTCAAATGTCCGCTAGTGATGTGGCGCTACAGTATTTGGCTAGTTTAATATTATTTTTGTTTAATTTTTGGTGTTTTAGCTGGCTCGACCATGAAAGGGATGCCAGTATTTAAACGAGGCTTAACTTTCTAATTATGAGTGGTTGTTTGTTTTGTGAGCAATAAAATAATTTTTAATGATACAATAGCAACGATTATTATTTTTTAAAAATATTTGTTAGGCTTAACATTGATCAAAATTCAACGCAAAGTAGGTTAATAGTGATATACTAATTACATGGGATATACTAATATACTATACTATTAATATATTTTTTCATACTTTTCAGTTATCTGTTTTTTTCAGTTATCTGACCAACCCCAGTCCCCAATTGAGTCGGATAATCAATGTTATACTGTATATACATTTTATGTATACTTTTAAATTATTCCCATGTTTTTATATTTAAATTTTAATCTAAACTTGCACTTATGGTTCTATTCCAATTGGCTTCTATGCTATGTTTGTTAAGGTACATGCATGCCAGCTTTTATATGTCTTTACAAAATGTTTTTAATTTAAAGTCTAAAATTTACTTGTACTCAATAGCCATTCTAATTGGCTTTTATGTTATGTATGTTGAGGTGCATGCATGCCAATTTTATGCAGTTACAAAATGTTTTTTAGTTTGAATGATCTTATTAGCCATTCCAATCGGTTGTTATTTGTTTTAAGGTGCATGCATGCCAATTTTAAAGTTTTTAATTCTGAAATTTGAAATTTATTTGCTTTAATAATTATGTTCTAAAATGGATAATATCGTTAATGCTTAAATTTAAATGTTCCCTTCAAATTCTGTTTCCTGTTTCAAATTGCCTGAGGACGACTTATACATTTATGTTGAAAGCACTAATAAGATTAAATTATTCCTTTAATTCTCTTTAACGTCTCCTAGTCTGAAGTTTCTAATTGAATTAACACAACTGTTGGCGTGACATCCAATCCAAGTATTTAATATACCTACCAGGATGATTATATTACCATAATCATCATGATGATGGTAATATAATCAACAATTTTTAAATAATTTACAAGTTTATGTTATATTTTTAAAAATAATGGACTCATTATAAAAATTTGTTTTACCGAATTATTTAAAATGTTTTGCTACAAACCTATCCTCCGTTANATGCAGTTACAAAATGTTTTTTAGTTTGAATGATCTTATTAGCCATTCCAATCGGTTGTTATTTGTTTTAAGGTGCATGCATGCCAATTTTAAAGTTTTTAATTCTGAAATTTGAAATTTATTTGCTTTAATAATTATGTTCTAAAATGGATAATATCGTTAATGCTTAAATTTAAATGTTCCCTTCAAATTCTGTTTCCTGTTTCAAATTGCCTGAGGACGACTTATACATTTATGTTGAAAGCACTAATAAGATTAAATTATTCCTTTAATTCTCTTTAACGTCTCCTAGTCTGAAGTTTCTAATTGAATTAACACAACTGTTGGCGTGACATCCAATCCAAGTATTTAATATACCTACCAGGATGATTATATTACCATAATCATCATGATGATGGTAATATAATCAACAATTTTTAAATAATTTACAAGTTTATGTTATATTTTTAAAAATAATGTGTTTTGAAAAATGAACTGCAGATTATATGTTTAAAAAATTAAAAAATTGACACATTTTTGATTGGCTGAAAAAATTTTTATATGTTTAATATTACTATAATTATTTAGAGCAATGGTTCTCAACCTTTTTTTACTCATAGACCCCTTTTTCTTTTAATTTTTTTTGTAGACCCCCATAGACATTGTACAGGGGAAAAAACCTTATATTTTTCACTAATAAAAAAGGAAAGAAATTGTATCCAAAAAAAAAGAAATAGTAAATAATATATATATATATATATATATCTCTTTGATGTTTGTCAATGAGATATATATGTTGTATATGTATTCAATATTTTAAATAATTTATATTTTAACCCTTATGCAAGAAATGAGTAATAAAGAAATTGACAATATACATACTGTAGAAATTTAATTCAGTAAGTCAGTAAAACAATTTGTTCTGAAGTAGAATTATCATTAGACCACTAAAATATCACTCTGAACCCCCATTCATTAGTTTTTTTCTGTGGACCCCCAGTAATGTTACATGGACCCTGGTTGAGAACAATTGATTTGGAGCACTCAATAATTGTCAGGAATCATATTTCTTAAATATGAATGTCATTTATATAAAATATTATAGAAGTAATATTAATTATAAAAATCATTCGAACAGTATAATTATTTTATTTCCATGTTTTATTTTATTAAGAATATGCATTGAGGCATTCTATAAATTTTAATAGGTAACATCACCATCTGATCCAGAAGATGATAATGATCCAGATGGACCTTATGCCTTTCGAAGGAAGAAGTATTGTGATTATCATGGAGTAAGTTTTTGAATTTAATTGTGTGTTTATTTGTGCGTCTATACATTACTTAAGCTTGATTAGTTTTAGAAATGTCTGCTTTATAATGATCTTCAGGAATTTACATCAAAGATTTTCAATTTGTTCAGTTATGTATCTAGTTATTTCTATAACAACAGATTTTTTCTGTAGATGTTCATTTAACTTCTGATTGAGATACTTTCAATTTCCAATTTGATAAAGTGCATTCATACAGATATATTAAACATTACTTCTTTTCAATAGTAACTTTATATTACATTGTTATCATCTACATATATTTCTTTCATATAAAGTCAATAAAGATGATTTCAAATTTTGAAAATTCTAGTTCTTTACACCATTTAGATTTATTTTTTAGATGTGGTGATATAATAAACTTACATACATATGTGAGAAACCGGGGGATTATAGGGCAAGTGGTTCTCTAAAAACCTCTTAGTTGGCAACGGTTGGTGAAAACTGCTTACATTGTCGTCAGATGGCTTAATAGAAGGGTCTTAAATGGTTGAGTGGAAGTGCAGTGGGTACGTCGAGTAGTTCAGTGAAATGACAGGTAGTCAGGTTTATAAACAAAAATAACATGCATTTAATATCTAGCTAAATCTTAGGTTATGATATACTACCGAATACACTATTAAAGCTACACATCTAAATTGTTACTAAATGACCGAGTATGTCACTCAGGCCAAAATCCCGTTTTTACATTTCTATATACATAGGTGTATAAGCTTAAATCTGCTGTTTTTTAATCAGAAAAACACACGTTTTTTTCTTAGAAAGCAAAAACAAATTTATTCAAAGTACTTTCCCTCACTAGTGACACATTTGTTCCATCTCTTGGGCAATGTGTGGATACCATGCCAAAAAAATTTCTTCTCTTTCGAGGCAAACCACTCATCAAACCATTTTCGGACGTCTTCGTAAGAATCGAAGTGCCGCTCAGCAAGCGCGTGGCCCATCGATGAAAAGAGGTGATAGTTGGAAGGGGCCGGGTCTGGTGAATAAGCGGGATGGGGTAGCACCTCCCAGTTGAGTGTCTCCAAGTAGTTTCGGACCAATGTTGACACATGTGATGGTGCATTGTCATGGAGGAAAATCAGCTTGTCGTGTCTTTGCTGATAATCCAGCCTTTTTTCACGCAGAGCACAGTGCAATTTGATCAGTTGTTGGTGGTAGTAGTGAGCATTGACAGTTTCACCAGGTTTCAACAGCTCATAGTAGACAATACCCTGCTGATCCCACCAAACGCACAGCATTGTCTTCCATCCAAAGCGATTTGGTCTTGGGAAAGATGTTGATGGTTTGCCTGGTTCAACCCATGATTTTTTGCATTTAGGATTCTCAAAATATATCAATTTCTCATCGCCAGTTACAATCCAATGCAGAAACAACTTTCTTTTTCATCTGGCGAGCAAGATTTTGCATGTGTTTTGGCATCGCTCCATCTGCCTATCGTTCAATTCATGCAGCACCCATTTTCCGATCTTCTGAATCTTTCCCATGGCACGTAGACGCATGGAAATGGCTGGTTGAGTAACACCCAATTGCTCGGCAAGCATTTTTTGCAATTGGGTATCGTCCTCATCCAAAAGAGCCTGCAGTTGATGGTCCTCAACCTTCCTGGGCCGATTTTCACGCTTCTTGTCACTCAGGTAAAAATTTCCCTCTTTGAACTGACGAAACCAATCTCTGCACATGGTTTCCGATAAAGCTCTGTCTCCATAAGCCTCCACAAGCATTTGATGTGCTTCGGCAGCCAATTTCTTCAAATTAAAGCAGAAAAGCAAAGCTTGCCGCATATGCTGTTTTTCTGGCACAAAAGTAGACAGACATGATTACAAAAAAATATATATATGTTGTTGTATGAAATATCTGATGATGTGCACTGATTAATGTTGACAGACGTCAAAATCATCAAAAAAACAATATGGCGTCGTCATGGTAACTTAATACACTCGCTTACGCCATCTATTAGCAAACAGCGGATTTAAGCTTATACACCTGGTATTTTGATCAAGAGAGAGTGAGTTTACATATGAATTAAACATTTACCTCTGATAGATAACTGATTTGATGATTCCCTGGAGCATTTGGGTCATTGTTGGTCTTTATAGAGATGTGGAGAGTTGTATTGGCCACTGCTAGGTTGGAGCCTTGGGTGGCTTCTGTTCTGTATGGTGTCTTGGGATGTGTCAAACTGGCTATGGCATTTGGGGATGTCCATTTGGATATGGGCATCAAGTCTGGCTGTCGTCTTCTATGGCCTGGAAGATGTCTGCTGAGAACTTGGTGGCTGGAGATGTTTGCCTTGCTATGGCATCTTGTGCGGTCCACCGGTGTCCACTGAGTATGGCCAACAGGTAACTGGTGGGTAGACCTCGTCTATGCTCTAGGAAAATGTCCACTCTGACTCGAGTTCCAGCCTTATTTTTATCCGATTTATCCTGGGAAAACACATTAGGTGATTGGATATTGTTGGAGACGAAGGTTGATTTTGCAGGAGTTGGGTCATAGCTGAACTGTTGATGACATTATGATGCCCTTTTATGGAGCTGCTATTACCATATTAGGCTCAAAACTTGTACAATTGCTTCTATTTACAATAGGTTGTTTAATTTAACACTTAATTGTTATAATTCTTGAACATTTGTTGCTAATAAAGGTGATATTCAATCTGTTTACTGTGCAATGTTTTTTTAACAGTTGCAACGGCAAAATAGGCTTAAGAATTTCCTTAACTTAGTGCAAAATCAGGCCTATGATCTTCATATATGTATATATGTAACTAAATTAAATGTTATTTAAAGCATGAATATAGTTTAAATGCTCACATTTTGAATATTATATTATTCAAAGTTGGATCAAATATCAAATTGATCAAAGTTTATTAAAATTGCTCTCACACTCATAATGAAAAGAGTCAGTAAGCTTGCTTTGCATTAATTCAAATTTTTTGTTAGCAATTATTTTCTTACATTAACTCAGCTCAGTCATGCTATAATTTCATATAAATATGAGTCATATATTAAATATTGCATTTTTAGTTAGATTTAAAGAATTTTAATATATTATTTTCTTGTTAGTTTTACTATTTTAAAAAATCTGAATTTATAAAATTAGCCAAAGTTTTAACTAATTAAGTAATAATTTATTTTTATATTATAGATGAACAATAATTATTTGAATGTTACAAGGCGGCTTCATTTAATAAGGTTAACAGTGCTGTTAAAAAATATTTTAGCGTACAAGATTGAGACTAATAATGAAAGAGTATACAGTAATGCAGCCCTGTACCAATAGTAGTCCCTGTGAAGTGGCATTTTGCATCCACTATGTGGTTTACAAAATGGTATTACCCATATCAAACTGCACTAGAATCAAACAGTATACTATTATTTGATTTTTGACAGTCAAAGGGATTAGACATAGTGAGATCCATCATAGGATGTATACACAATGTGGAGAGTAATGCATGTTATTTCAAAAAGCTTGGGTTCAAAAGTCTATGCAGCTCATCATCTATGTTTGTTCAGCCTTTCTTGAACTTTTGAACCCACTTGCAAGTTTTTTGTAGCAGCACACTACTTTTCACATTGTGCATATATCTGCAATAGATCTTAATAATTCATAAATGTAATGCCTTTGGCTTTCAAAAATCATATAACAGCTCACTGTTTGATTCTGATGCAGTTTGATATAGGATAACACCATATTGTAAACCACATAGTGAACTCAAATGCCACCTCGCAGAGGCAACTATTGGTACAGAGCTGCATTACTGATTACTTTTTCAATATTATTAGTCTCAATCTTGTACACTATGTTAATTTTTTTAGTGATGCTTCTAACCTTATTTATTGAATTTGCCATGAAAAATTTTATACTGTTAAAAATGATAGCTATTACATATACTAATCTACATGATAGTACTGTATAATAAATTATACCTTATATTTATAGCCTTTAATAGATCGTCTTGGGAATTGGCCATGGTGTAGTCCAGATGATGGTGGGCTTAGTGATCCTCGGTATAGGTATAATTTGACATCATTATCAGAACCACAGACTAGATGTATAGGATTTGCAAGGAGGAGGATAGGAAGAGGTGGAAGGTGAATTAAAACATTATAAAATATTTTTATATACGTATTTCATTTATTTATTATTTTATTTTAATTACATTTAAATAATTTCAATTTTATAGACTTCTGCTGGACAGAGCTTGGACACCTGCAGATGATTTATGGCCTATTTTAGACTTTAGTATACCACCTTCTTTACCAAATGGTCTACCATGTTCAAATGATTTCTTAACAGAAATAAAGAATGACTGGTAAATATATTCTTTAAAATGAAGCAAAAAATTTTTTTCAATGAAATGTAGTTCTGGACATTGTAGAAATTTTAATACTTAAAAGTATGTGGTTTACCTAACTTTTCAAAAATTAGTGTTATCTTATATTTTTCTCTTACAAATTAAATAAAGATAGATAAAGTGTAAATCTGTGCTAACATTAAGAATCTTAGCACAGATTAACACTTAAATTATATTTTAAAATTAGTGAAATATTAACTTAATGTTAGGTAAATGTTAGATTCAGGAGAGTATACATAAACAAGAAATTGTGCAACATAGAAATATATTAAAATTTCAGATTTATTTCTTAAAAGTTTGTAATTATTAGATAATCATAAATAATAAATAATGTTTTTTAATAAATATACATGTAAATATTTGGTTTTCTGTATTTTATATACAAAATTCAGAAAAATCAACAACTTATCAGCTTAAATTAGTAGATGTAAATTTAAATAGTTTTACAATCTGAAACATGCTTGGTATAACTACATTTTAAGTTCCAGTTATCTTAAAATATTTTAGTTATAATGCCTATTATCATTTTTTAAAATAAAATATTTGTTTTTGATTAGTGTGGAAAAATGCTTATATAATTGTAGAAGTCATTTTAGTTAAATATTAGAGATCCTTTAAANTCGAAAAATCCCTTCTTAGTGTACATTCTGTTGACGTACTCTATTAAAACGCAATCAAAAACGGAAAAAACTGCATCTAAAATGGTATAAATAGAAGCAGAGTTCTTTACGGTAACCTTTTCCGTAAGGCTTACCGTAAAGAACTGTCCATCCCCCATGTTTAACGGAATAATATATAGCCTGTGTCCACCCTGAAGTTCCATTCTAAATATTGGTGAAAGAATTTTTGAAATCGGATGAGTAGTTTCGGAGATTACCTGCTGCATACAAACTAACATACATACAAACATATTACAAACATCTTTATAATATTAGTATAGATATAAATATTATATAAAACAAATGTTGAATTTTTTTAATAAACATATTTTCACAAAATTGTGGAAATAAAATTGTAAAAATAGTAATAAAAAAGCAGAAATGAACACTTTAAGCAACAGCCGCATTTGCCCATGGTGGTAATATTAGCTTTACATTTTTATTTTAGAAATATTCTGATTATCTGAAAGCCTAAGGCTGCCTATATTTTTTATAGCTTCAATAATTTTATTGTACAGTGTTACATATTATTATTATTATTATGAGGATTGCCATTAGTTTTACATATGGGAATTAATAACAGGATAAATTATTTTTATTTAATAAAACATTTTAGTTTTATGTAGAAAAGAAATGCTTTAATTCTGTCTTTCTTATTTTAATTTTACTAATTTGTCGATTATAAAAAATATATAGCTGTTAATTAGAAAAAATAACCAGCTAAAAAATTGGAGATGGAAATTAAAAACAAAAATTTAAATAGGAACCCTGTTTATAGTTAAGATTTTAAGTAAAATTATGAGTGAAATGTATATATGAGAATGCTAATGTCTGTTTTTAATATATATGATTTAATAGTTAGATGATGATAATTTTCTATAGGCTAGATCAGTGGTTCCCAACCTTTTTTCATTAGCGTACCCCGTGACATGTCATATCTCTAGATTGTACCCCATGACATGTCATATCTCTAGATTGTACCCCNTATTATGAGGATTGCCATTAGTTTTACATATGGGAATTAATAACAGGATAAATTATTTTTATATAACAAAATGTCTTATTTTAAATTTTTATAGTTCAGTTATTCTAAAAGATAACTTTTCTTAATTAACAACTTTAACTAATAAAAAATGTGTGTTTGGAAAAATGATTTGTATTTCTTTCTAGTGCAAGTTTAAAATATTTGTTTGGCCTTGTTCTTTTTCTGTACATGGAAGAGTCATCTTTTGTATGGAGGATTTAGGATGATGATTGTTATTTTTTGTTAATATTGTTCATGTGTTCTTTTAGAGTTGTTCTACTTGTATATATTTAATGTGCGAGTATTGGGACGTGTGTTAATTGTTTTAAATGTGTGTTTTGCATTGAACTGTATTATTACTATTAAATGTAATAATCTGTTGTTGTTATACTTTGTTAGTTTGTTTTATTTGTGTTCAGTGAGCTTGACCTGTTGGACTCCTAAATATAAACCTTCCCCATACTTGGATTTAATGATACGAGGGCTATTTTTTAAATAAGGTCCATTTGTGAATGAGAGTGAGAATGACGCGCGATTGCAGCAGTGTGCATGAGCATCTGCTTTCAGCATGCTTTGCACGCGTTTAGATGCCATTTGCCTCCGTGTCATCTGTCTGTGTGCTGAACTGTAGATGTTTATAATGTTTAAGAAAATTGAGTCGCCTGCCGACTGTAAGATATGATCTGTTATTCAATTTCAGCACGAAAGATCATGGCAACTGTCTTTTGGGACAGGAAAGGGACTTTGTTAGTGGATTTTATGCCAAGAGGCACAACAATTAATTCTGATGCTTATTGTGGCCTTGAGAAAACTCTGTCGTGCCATACAAGACAAGCAGCATGGCCTAATGTGTTCTGGCGGCAGATTTTTTTAAAGTTGGAATTTAAAAATTTTTTGAGTGGTATGACAAATGTTTGAACAAAAATGGAAATTATGTAGAAAAGTAGCTAAAAGTATGTAGAATATAGGAAAAAACATATTTTACTGATATTTACAATATTTTTTTTTTTTATTAAAAAACGGACTTTATTTAAAAAATAGCCCTCATATGTTCATTTTCAAAGCAAAATACAGAACTTTAAATTAGTTCTAGATATTATTTTATTTTACAAATTTTAAAATATTGAGCTGCATTTCAAAAATGCAACCCATTTTAATATTAAACTGAAATTTAATTATGTTTTGTTGTAGTATGTCTATTGCTCTTTGTTAAGGATTAAAATTTAAAAATTTTAATAATGCTAAATAGTGTTTTATGGTTTTTTAATAACTTTATAGAATTAAAACATCAAAATTGCACGGTTAATACAGTTGATTCCCCCATAACACTGTTGATAATTCTGTTTTATATGAATTCCATGTTGTATGAGTCACTTAGATTTTACAAATACGTGATCCATTCACAGCCAGGCACATGTATTTGTAAAATCTAAGTGACTCGTACAACATGGAATTTATATAAAACGGAATTATCAACAGTGTTATAGGGGGTCAACTGTATTTTATATTCTAACAATTGTATCAATTTTTTCATTATAATTCTACTTTTTACACACATTTACTGCTCTCCAATTTATTCAGTTTCATTTGCTCTTTACAAATTGTACAATTTAATCATTTTCTCCCTTAGATTCTTTTGAAAAATATTTTAAAAATTTTAGAATGGACTATATATGAAATATAAACAAGGGCAGGCATTTGATTTGTAATATTAAACAATAAAATTATTGAAACATTATAAAAAAGGGGGTGGGGCAGTCTTTGACTTTCAGACAATTGATTTTTCATATATAATACTTTAACACTCTTAAATCAATTTTTTACTCATTTTGGACTTTTATATATTTTAAGCTATCATACAGTGCTGCTGGATTTGGTTTTAGTAATAACAAAATCATTTGTAAAAATTAATTAATTTTATATTGTCTGTTTGTTTAATTTATGGTTTTAACATTATTTTAAATGTTTTATGCATTGTAACATATTTACTTTCAAAAAATATAAAGCTTCTCTATATTAATAAGATATTTTATGATTTTTATCCTTAATTCAACTTTTATATCCACTTTTAGAAATGTATTAAAATAAAATAAAATTGATTGATCATATCAGCTATTACATTGTGTTATGCTATAGATAATTTATATATAATATAATACTTATATAGATATATAAAAAAAATTGTCTTTCAATTTATTTATATGTATTTATGAATACAGTCATTTTCTGCTTAACATAAATAATCAATTCTTGAAAAATAGCCATTCTGTGCAAAATACTAATTTGGATGATATTTTCTGTTATAGTCAACTTATGTTAATATGAATTGCTTGGGGAACAATAGTTAATTTGCTTTATCAAACATTTATATTAACACTTGTCAGGATCAAGGTCAAGGTTGTGTAATTTAGGGAGTTAAGACTTAATAGGCAATTGAAATCTCCAAATTATACATAGTTTGAATTAATTTACTAAATAAAGTTACTTATTTACAAAAACAAATCAATGTTCGAATGATTTTCAAATCAAACAAAATGAGGAGGAGAGTATTTGCAGTCTAAGCATGAGCAGTATATCAGAGTGGTTAAAATGAAGCTAAAAGAAATTAGTAATTTTTTTCTATTGATGGTTGTTTGAAAAAGTGAAAAATATTTATTGGCACTAAAAGAGTAAAAAGAACAGGAGCCAAATTTGGCACAAAGTATCAAACTTGACATTGTTATATGCACTGCTCAATATGCAAACTTAAATAGATGCAGTTTCATGCAAAGGTATCCTTAAGCTTTAACTTCTATTTTCTGAGTACAGTAGATTGGTCTGCTGAAACCTGATGTTTGAATTGCTATGCAATTAGAAGTCAAACGTGTCTTTCCATATTAAGAGAAGAAAATCTATTCTTTTCAAAATGGAACATTCTACAGTAATACTTTTTATTGTTTATATTAAAGCAACCATTATTAGAAATAAGATTATTTCTTGGGGTTATGAAGATAATTTATAGTTCAGTTTAATGAATTCTGGTCAAATTTTTATTTGCTTTATCAAGGTTGTAGTCTCTTTTTGTAAAAGTTTTTGTAAAAATTAACAGTGTGGCAGTGGTGTTTTGCCAGGTGTTTTTACTTAATTTATATATTTTTTAAACAATAATATGATAGTATTGCTATGTATGAAAATAAATTGATAGAAATCTGATTTTTGATAACAAGTTATTTTCTAAAATGAAAAAAAAAATTAATTATAAAACATAATAAATTTGATGATAATTGACAGTTATTGTTTTATTTATTTAGGTTACATTTTCGACCACAGCCTTCAGCTAGAAGAATAAGTGTTGCTAGTAGTGATGAACAAGATGAAAATAATCAACAGATACACTCACCTGTTGGACAGTTAGATGATGTAAATAATGCTCTTGACAGTGTACCAACAGACTTTGAAAGTTTCCAAAGTCATCAAGAAGAACTTTTTGAAATGCAAAGAAAACAATTAGAAAGGTTAAAACAAGAAGAACTAAGTTCAGATAATTCATATAATTCAGAACATTCCTTTACCTCCCAACCAACATCACGTTTCACTTTAGACTCTGCCAGTGCAAAATTTGCTGTGTCAGCTGTGCTCAATACTAGTGATGTACCTGGATTTCTAAATTCACTAGTATCAGCATCAGAGACCAGTAACAGTATTACCTCACATATTACAGGAAAATTACCATTAACTAATGGACCAATAGCAGATAGTAAGTTTTTCTGTTTTTGAATCTATTTTATATTAATTTATTACTTAAATTTCAAAAAAATTTTAAAACTTGCATTTGTTTCAATGGAATTTTATTTTATTTTGTAATATAATGTGAATTATTGTTTTATGAATACTGTTCTAACAATATTAATGTTACATTTTATAAGAATAAAATATAAATTGATTTATATCAAAAGAATTTCTTGATTTAACGTTGAGAATTTTAATATAGTTTTTAAATTAGTTTTCCTTATATATAAATTTGTAGTGATGAGACATCAAAATTTCTCTCAATTTCAAGTCTTTTGAATAGTTTCTAAAGTTTATTTTTGTTTAGAAAAGTTAATGATTTCCATTATGAGCACAGTACTTTACTTGATTAATAAACAATAGATGAAGATTAGATGAAGATTAATAAACAATTTAGACCAACTCCATAATAGAGTTATCAGATTCACCAACTCATCATTAGCTAAACACCTGCAACTAGGAAATGCTACCATGCAATCACCTGAGATACCGTGGCTATTCGGCTATGCTAAAACCCATAAACCAGGCAAGCAAATCCGGCCAATTGTTGACAAATCAAGATCTCCAACCCTACCTATTGAAAAGGGTCTACATGAGCTCCTCAAAAACCATTTGAAAGATTATAGTTACACCGTTTCAAACACTCAGGAACTCATCAATAAATTACAGAATATCGCTCTGACGGGATCAGGAATTTATTACAGTTTTAGACTTTGAAGCTATGTATCCTTCTATTAAATTGGAACTGTGCTTCTGTGCCCTTAGGGATTTTCTCTTCTAAGCCTCTCCACCCAAACCTAAATACCACAAGCAGGTTTTGGAGCTTGCCCATCTAATGTGCTACACCTCATTCTTCACCTTCAATCAGCAAAATCTATCTTCGAGAAAGGGGAGTTCCAATGGGTAGTCCCCTCTCTGGAGACCTCTGTGAATTAATTGTTAGAAAATTAGATAGCCAAGTGTTAGTCCTTTAACGCAGAAATTGTTCTTTACTTGCGCTATGTCTATGATATTCTTATCATTTGGAAATCCAAGCTGGATCTAAACGACGTACTGCAATAGTGAACAAAAACCCGTTTCGACTTAAGCTAAAGTTAGACCAACAGGATGATAGGATGGCCCATTTCCTTGACCTCAATATTTTCTTGAATCATGGCTGCATAACCACAAATGTATTCCATAAGTCTAATCTTCAATCTTTCTTCACTCCTACAACCTCGAATGACTCGTTTATTTATAAAATATCTACTTTCAGGGCTCTAATCCGCAGCGCTTTTACTCATTGCTCTAACATCAAGGACGTGCTGCGAGAAATCCAACGCATCAAGCGCCTCGCCACAGCCCACGGTTACAACAGTAAATTTATTGATAGGCTTGCGCAAAAAATTTGTAGATGCTTAACAACTGAAGATGTCAATTCCAAACCTCTAAAGCAGCGTTTCTCAAAGTGGGCGATAACGCCCCCTTGTGGGTGCTGGAGGCTTTCAAGGGGGCAGTAGAAGGCTCAAAGAGAATTGGGGGGCGTTAAGGAAATATAGAGGGGCAACGGCAGACAAATTCTATATATAAAAATTCGACAGAATATATATAAAATGTTGACATTTTATATATTTTTTATTTTTTATTGAAGGTCACAACTTGAATATTTCTAACACATTGACTTTTATTTTAGCTCAACGTTTCTCAAAGTAAGCAATAACGCCCCTTTCTGGCGCAATGAATAGATCTATGATAGAGGCAGGGTATTGAACGGTGACCAAAGGCAAAATTGGGGCTGATAAGAGGACATTGCGTTTAATGGTTTCCAGATGATGAGAACAATGTACAGTAAGGGCACAAAGTGTGAGATTCATAGAAAAGTTTTCCTAAGAATATTTCCAATCCTTTTCTCACACAAGAGAAAATGGGTTAGGGGCATTGGGTATAACTTTATGGAACAAAGGGGGCGGTGGATCGAAAAAGTTTGAGAATCACTGCTCTAAAGCAACAAAGTAAGCACATTACCGTTGATTTCGACCCTAGAATGAGCCAAGTCTTTAAATTCATAGCAAGAAAGGTCAATGCTACTCTCGCATACAAATGCAACCCTACAATTTATAAACTTCTGGCTAATACCAAGGACAAATGCAGCGAGACCAGGAGTGTACACAGTCCCACTGGAGGACAGCAGATCTAACCCGTGCAAAAAACTAACATACATTGGCTCAACCAGTAGATCACTTAAAAGGAGGATAGCTGAACACAAATACGACGCATACAACAAAAAGTTCACTTCCACCCTAGCCCAGTTTGCAAGTGAACCTAGTATAACGACCAAATGGGAAGAGGCAAAGATTACAATTCCTATGCACAACAATAGCAAGCTTAGAACAGTTGAAACCATTGAAATATTTAAGCAATCCCTCAAAGACAGTTGTATCAACAGCAGAGATGCAGACTCGCTCTCCTCCGCATGGAAATCACTCTTATATTAAAATATAAGAGTGATTTCCATGAATAAAAGAATAAAGATAAAAGTTTTATCTTTGTTCTTTTACATATTAGCCTTTATATTTATAGTGAATTTATTGTATTATTAACATTGATTTTTTTTTATTAATTGATAATAACTGATTAAAAATTATCATATGGTATATTGTTTAATTATTGATAAGCTTTTATATATACATATTTATTATACTTAAGTATCACTTCTTGTTACATAATACAATTTAATTTAAATAATTTAAATTTTTATAGGTACTGATATAAATTATAGCAGTTTTAACAAAGAAAATGCTGATAGCACAATTTCTCATGTTCCACCTACACCCTTAGACTCTGTTCTGGAAATAACATTACCGAATGTAGTAACATCAACAGCATTACCAACATGTGTACAAGTAGTACCGTCCACAGATTTGGATCTACATAATCCATTAAGTATGTTAACATCAAAAGTGACTACCCCTCATGATGAATTAAGGTTCCCTAATACAGAACAGAATGGAAATGAAGAAAGTGGGTAAGTATAAATTTTGTTCACAATCTCATATTATATTATATTATATATATATATATATAAATGGACATGTGTGTCCCTATATTTCACTTTTCCTCCAAAACTACACATCGCACATGAATGGTGTTTGTATGTGGTAGTAGCCCAAGTCTCCATTCGTGCATAGGGGTGGTTGCGTCTCGATAGCTATAAGGGTGCGGGAGATATGAGGCTGAAAGTGGTTGAAAGTGGCTTTCTATTTCGAATGTTTTGTTCGAATTTGTTCGAATTAAATTCGAACATAAAATTCGAATATTGGTTCGATTATAGAACGATTGTAAACGTTCCAGAAACGTTGAAAATAGTTCGTTTGACTAAACGTAACAAGTCTCTAATTAGTCTGGAAACGGGGGACCTAATTCTTGCATTCTGTGAAAACGGGTAAGATTGGCTATAATGTAATTATCTTAATCTTCACTATCGTTACTTTTTAAAAATCCAGCGAAGATGGTCCTTGCAGCTAGATTCTAGATTACTTAGAAAAACAGTCTTTTATATATTAAAAAAAAAAAAGCTATATTACATACAAATGTACGAACAAATAAAAACCCAGCGAAGCGGGTCCTTGCAGCTAGTATTATATATTAATTAGCAAGTGAGTAGATAAGGATGAAGTAGTCCACTAATAGGTGGATAAAACCACCAAATACTGGTAGTTGGTTCTAGGTTCACACCTGACCAATGAATTGGTAATGTGTAGTTTTCATGGTTTCTTAATGTCTAGCACCTAAGTAAGAGCTAGTTTCTCATAAAAAGTCTTTCCAGTAGGCATACTCCTTAGCAGGATTGTTTTTCTATTGCATTGCCTTTTCATCAAACCAAATCAACCATTAAGAAAAATTAAAAAAAGAAGTAATTTTATTATTTTTGATTATCAATGAAGAAAATATAAATACTTAAATACTTTTTCCAATAGAATAAAATAAACTTTTAAAAGTAATATTAAATAAAATTAGTTCCTAATATTTTGGTAATAAATTAAATGTATTTATAAATAATTGAGATTATTTTAGCTTACAGTGAAATTATCAAAAATGTTTAAATATTTCAGAGATACATTTAAAAAATTGTACAGAGGTTGGAAAATATATAGTGATCACATGGACCAGGACAGAAGTACACTGTACACAGTTGATGGTCCTTTGATGCAGTTGTGAGGTCGCTGAATTGGGGATTACTAAATGTCAGGATTATCTTATGTGGAGTGAAGGAAAGTGAAGCAAATAGCTGTAGTGACAAAGTGACAAACAACCCTGTTTATTTATACTAAGTCTTACAATCTAATGTATCTTGTCTTCTGGAGTCACTGGACTGTTGAGTCATTGGCCCCGGGGTGGTCAGTCGATGCTTTGATGGTGTGGGAGGTCCAGTGAGGAAGGGTGACAGCCCGAAATTCAAACAGGATGGTGTCCACATGGGGAGGCAGGGAAAAGCCTGGACAGTTGACTGCAGTTGTAAGCTGGGGAAAGTCTGGACAGTGGTTGTCATTATCAGAGGCTGAAAGAAGTCTGCACAGTTAATTTCACAAGAGGAGGCAGGGAAAAGTTTGCCTTTGTCCTTGAGATCCAGGTTTTTAAAAGATTCTCTTCCCTGGATCTCTAGCTTTTGATTGGTTGTTTTCCTGTATCTAGGCAGATAACAGACCATTTTGGGCTACCAAAGGTTTAATTTGACACTGTGTTTAATCCGATGAAGGGAAATTAATCGCACCTTGAAACTCCTGCTCATATTTAATTGTTTTGAATTCTTATAAATCTGACACATAATCTCAGTGCTACATCTCCTTTTAAGGTTATTTAAAAACTTATTTTTTTCTCTCAATTAATACGCCACGTCTGTAACACCTGAATAGGTGCCAATTACTCTTAAAAAGATCTCCCAGAAGGCATCCTCCTAGGCAGATCACCAAGTGTTGCATTGCCTTAATAAAAACAAACAAAACAAAGCATTGTTAATTACCTGTTCTCATCAATGTGGAAATTACTCAATGCCAATTTTTGTCTCTAGTCTCTATTGAGTAGTCTACTGCCTGTATAATGTCCTTGATAGTCTTGAAACGAATTCTACAGATCAGTTCTTCCATCTTAGAGAACAAGTTAAAAAAATTGTATGGACTCGTGTCTGGAGAGTATGGAAGGTGTTACACTTTCTAATCCATTGTTGAGCAGCCTTTCACTAGGGTTTGTACATGACAATGGGTCTTGTCATGCAAAGCAATGGGAGAATTCTTCATGAAGTAGTTTTGTGTCTTATACAGTGTTGATCACAGATTGTGTTCCAAGAAGTGGATGTAGTAATGTGCTTTCACAAGTTTGCCTTAGTGGCACTGTGTGTGTTAAGATAACATCTTTGCAGTCATACATAGCAATGATTCTAGCCTTGAAATTAGTGGAGTTCTGCCAGAACTTTTTTGCGAGGAGAAGCTTTAATATCACCACTCAACAGACTGGTATTTAAGTTGTAATTCATAGAACAAAGCTCATGTTTCATCTAGCATAATAATGTGACATAAGAATGCTGACTTTTCACATTGCTAGCACTCCAATGGAGAGTCACTGTCTCTTATTAATGCCATTTCTGGATGTCATCCAAAGCACAAGGAACCCATCAAGATGCAATTTTTCACATACACAATTCTTTCCACAGAATGTGCAAGATGGTCATATGAGACAGACTGCTCTCATGACCTAGCTCATGAATTGCCCATCTCCAGTCATTCTCCAACAATGCAGCCATGGCTTGCATTTGTTTTTCCATAACATTTCTGGTGTTGGTTAGTGCTCATCAACTACTTTCTGACAACCATCTCTGAATGCTTTTATTCATCTTCTGATAGTGCTGTACTGTATGGTAAAGCAGATGCTTCACAAGATTGTACCAGCATCTGATAACAATGTTTTTCTGTGAATCCTCTAGCAAACTCAATTTTCAGCCAACATCACTGCTTCACTTAGAAAACGTTAGAAAACACTGATCCATTTGCACACATCTCTTGTTGCTGCTGCACAAGTCCAGTCTGATGATGGACAAAGTCATTCTCCCAGTGGGTAGGCAGAGAACCAGTCTTAAACACAGCATAACAATCATAATTGTTATGGCCTTCATTTTTGTCTTATAAATACAGTAGATCCCCCTATAAGACGGTAGATACGTTCCGTTCTTTATGAATCAATTTTGTAGGAATCATAGTTTACAGACTACGGCTGTTTGAAAGGTTTTCTTTCATAAAATTAATCGATTCTAGACTAATTCGACTCAACATTTCCAAAATACGTATATTTTTTTNTTTTTTTTTTTTTTTTTTTTTTTTTTTTTTTTTTTTTTTTTTTTTTTTTTTTTTTTTTTTTTTTTTTTTTTTTTTTTTTTTTTTTTTTTTTTTTTTTTTTTTTTTTTTTTTTTTTTTTTTTTTTTTTTTTTTTTTTTTTTTTTTTTTTTTTTTTTTTTTTTTTTTTTTTTTTTTTTTTTTTTTTTTTTTTTTTTTTTTTTTTTTTTTTTTTTTTTTTTTTTTTTTTTTTTTTTTTTTTTTTTTTTTTTTTTTTTTTTTTTTTTTTTTTTTTTTTTTTTTTTTTTTTTTTTTTTTTTTTTTTTTTTTTTTTTTTTTTTTTTTTTTTTTTTTTTTTTTTTTTTTTTTTTTTTTTTTTTTTTTTTTTTTTTTTTTTTTTTTTTTTTTTTTTTTTTTTTTTTTTTTTTTTTTTTTTTTTTTTTTTTTTTTTTTTTTTTTTTTTTTTTTTTTTTTTTTTTTTTTTTTTTTTTTTTTTTTTTTTTTTTTTTTTTTTTTTTTTTTTTTTTTTTTTTTTTTTTTTTTTTTTTTTTTTTTTTTTTTTTTTTTTTTTTTTTTTTTTTTTTTTTTTTTTTTTTTTTTTTTTTTTTTTTTTTTTTTTTTTTTTTTTTTTTTTTTTTTTTTTTTTTTTTTTTTTTTTTTTTTTTTTTTTTTTTTTTTTTTTTTTTTTTTTTTTTTTTTTTTTTTTTTTTTTTTTTTTTTTTTTTTTTTTTTTTTTTTTTTTTTTTTTTTTTTTTTTTTTTTTTTTTTTTTTTTTTTTTTTTTTTTTTTTTTTTTTTTTTTTTTTTTTTTTTTTTTTTTTTTTTTTTTTTTTTTTTTTTTTTTTTTTTTTTTTTTTTTTTTTTTTTTTTTTTTTTTTTTTTTTTTTTTTTTTTTTTTTTTTTTTTTTTTTTTTTTTTTTTTTTTTTTTTTTTTTTTTTTTTTTTTTTTTTTTTTTTTTTTTTTTTTTTTTTTTTTTTTTTTTTTTTTTTTTTTTTTTTTTTTTTTTTTTTTTTTTTTTTTTTTTTTTTTTTTTTTTTTTTTTTTTTTTTTTTTTTTTTTTTTTTTTTTTTTTTTTTTTTTTTTTTTTTTTTTTTTTTTTTTTTTTTTTTTTTTTTTTTTTTTTTTTTTTTTTTTTTTTTTTTTTTTTTTTTTTTTTGTCTCCCAAATTTTTAAAGAACTTAGTCAATAAATTTTAAAATATCAATTGCCAGTGAATTTCTTTTTGCAACCAAATATGGTATTTTATTCCTACCATTGTCCTTAAACTACCACTACAGGTGAGACAATAAATTCGTCAAGATCTAAATAAGCAAAACACAGATCAATTATCATTTACATTTTCTTTTGCTTTTTGATATTAAAAGTTGTTTATGTGTTGGTTTTAAGTACTGTCTCCTCATTTACAAATTTCTGTGAATTTGAAATTTCACATTTTTATGTGAATTGAGCAATACCATCAATTCACAGAAAAGTATGAAATTTTGAATTTAATGAGTGATCTATAAGGAAAGGATTTCTGTAATTTCATAAGTTTTGATGTTTTATTATATGTTCAATATTTATTTTTTAAATTGAAAATTATAAATTACACTACTTTTTTAATAAGCAATTTATTATGAAATGTATCACTGTATAATAAAATTGTAACTGATGTTTTGCTTTTATATCAGCAGTAATTGTCTTTAAATGTCATTGTTAAAGA